AAACCATGGCTTTGCCTCTTTGCACCCCCAGTCGGACCAAGTTATACAAGTACCAAAAAGAAAATCCTTCGAGGGGGGCATTTTTGCAATTTTGCAGTGATGTCCTCCACGCCAAATGACAACCCCTGCTACCATCTAAATTAAAGCAGGCAGCAGACAGTCCGAAACCAAAAAGAAAATCCTTCGAGGGGGGCATTTTCGCAATTTTACAGTCATGTCCTCCATGCCGAATGAGAACCCCTACTACCATCTGCAGTAAAGCAGACAGCGGACAGTCCGAAATCAAAAATAAAATCCTTCGAGGGGGGCATTTCTGCAACTTTGCAGTGATGTCCTCCTTAACAGCCGACAGACATGCGATCCAATTAATTACCACACACATGCAGACCCATGCCGAAACCGAAAAGAAAATCCTTCGACGGGAGGTCATTTTTGCAACAAATGGAAACTGCACCTTGCGTCGACATGCAATGCGAGCACTCCCACCAATCTTCCAAGGCATGACTCTTCTTGATGATTGCATGAAAGATTCGGACTCCAGGGTCATTGCAGAAATTAGCGCGGGTTTCCCAGCGGAAAAAAATGTTGTCGGGGTCCGAAAAATGTATCTTTGTGACAAAAGCAGGGAGCCCACCCGCAACTAAGTTTGCTGTGAAACTACCTAGACCTGTAAAGCTGCCCCCGCCCGAAAGATGTATTTTTGCAACGAAACGCGGCCCCCGCCCTCCTGCCACTATTTTCGCTGTGAAAGTACCCCGAACACGCTATTTTTGAAACTTCCCCTTCCAACTCCTCAACTAATACGAATTTCCCACCAAGTTGTGAAAAATGCAGACTGCCCCTCACCTCAACATCCGATGCATGTACTCCAACCCATCTTTTCTATCCTTGACGATTCTCCATAAGGATTCAAACTCCTCATCTCTTTTCGAAACGTACCCTTCCAACTTCCCATCTAGTTTTGAAACTTACCCTCCCAACTCCTCGTCTGGTTTTGAAACTTGCCCTCACCAAGTTACCGACCAACCAAGACCTTGGTGACAAAAGGGCTTTTTCGCGTTTTACGAAAAGGAGTTCAAAACCACAAACGAACAGACAATACCATAGATCGCTGTGTATCGGCGGAGAGACCTAACGAGCACGCGTAGGTCAACCTACAACCAACACCCGGTAGGTCCGGAACGTTCAATCGCGCAGGAATGGAAAAGATCGACATGCCAACATCCAAACTCACCAAGATGTCAGGCACAATTCAGGCAGACGGGGGTGGGGCAGAATGAGCGTGATTGTAATGCTATTTTCTCTCTCCGTTGAGATAGAATACGGAGAGAAGGAGAGAGAAAGGACGCATGAGAGCGTTCAAAAACTACTTTGGAGGGTATACCTCCTACTACACCTTGACGAACTTCACTTGCAAATCGATCCCCGCAGCTTGGAACAAATCCGACACAGGGCAGCGCTTCTGCACTATCCTCGCCAGTTCTGCGAGTTTCTCCTGAGCAGGACAACACACACACACACACACACACACACACACACACACACACGAATGAGTAGAGTAAACTACTTTTCTCAAGAGTATCGCTGACGCAGGGCAAAAATCCAGGTCATGCTGTAGGGATTCGACGGATTCGACGTCTTGATGAGTGGATACATAACACTTTGTTCAGTGGTGCTAGCTTTAATCAAAATTTCTTCAGCTGCAACATCGACAGTGGTCAAACCCCTCAAATTCGCCTTCGTCACATTTATCGTTCATTCATGTGCAAAATGAGAAGGAGAAGAAAATGACCGACCAGTGGCATCTACGATTGGACTATGGCAATGCGACTCTTTACCTGCGGCATCTGCGATTGCGAACCCACTAACTCCAATATGTTTGTGTGTTTGTTTGTAGGGTTTAGGGTTTAGGCATAGGAAGGGATGGCGGGTGTGCAACCTGGTTGACGGGGTTGGTTTTCTGACATGTCCTGCAAGTTTTTAGGCCTCTGTGCGCCGACATTGGCGCGGTAATCTTCGTTTTGTGACGACACGTGTTTGATGCGGTACCTTTGTACTCTTATGTTGTTGCGTCCCATTTCTTGAAAGAATGGGCGGACGATCTCCGCCGTTGATCTTTGCAGATCAGCGGCGGAGACCCAGGGCATATTTGATGCAGTACCTTTGTACCCTATGTTGTCGCCGTTTTAACATGCTAAACGTGCGTTCACATTCAAACGCCCTCATTCAAAACGCCCGCGCGCATGTTCAAACACATTTAAACCAGGGGTGGTTGACCGGGTCGTCGACCAGGAGCCTGCCGGTTCAACCGGGCCGTCGACCGGCCTGGCAGACCCCCGATCAAACCCAGTGCATGACACTGGGAGGGGGGTTACCGGGGGAGTCACAGGCATCCAGTCACAGGCATCCCCACGTTCGCCCCAGAGCAGGGGACGCCGCTGCGTCCCCAAAACATTTACAAAACTGGGGCCTTTTGCACCACATTCCTTGAAAGAATGGGCGGGGGATCTCCACCGTTGATCTTTGCAGATCAGCGACAGAGACACACGACACATTTTTTTCAAGATATGGGGTCCAACAGGCCCCAGTTTTTTTTAATTATTTGGCAACGTGTGGTTGAATGCCATGGACCAAATGCAATTGGCAGATCCTTATACCAGTCCACCCTGAGCCACCAGGATGAAAACAATACGCTCTTACCATTATCTTGCTGGGATTTTATGCTTCTTCCCCGTCCCTACGCTCTGCGAGAAAAGTTCTTGGCTTGCGTTTCGTGAAGTCAGCGTAGGAATGCTGTCTCAGGCGCAAGCCCAAGAATGCACCTCAGCTCGACTACATGTATCCCGACAGACTGCCAGGCAAGACACTTTCGGTCTGATGAGCCACCGTACATAGAAAAAAAGAACAAACAGAAAACGCTCTGCCTGCACAAGCTCAAACCTGAACGCAACTTTTTGCTGTCGCGCGCAAGACTCTGGAAGAGATATTTTGGGTCTCGTCACGGCTCTCGTGTCAATGTCCACTGGTGTAGTCCATGATGAGCTATGGCGCTGAATAATCCCTAAATTGCAATTTTGTGGACCACGTGAGGGTCAAATAAGCAAGCGTGTTCTTGCTTGACCCCTCCACGGGAAAGCCATACCGCACAAAGAATACCCCTCCTCCCCCTGGGAACCCCCCCCCAAAACAAATCACTCCTTCGACAGATCTCGAAGAGCTATTGCAGATTTTGACGGATCTCGAAGAGCACGGGGCGTAGTCGGAATCCGCAGATATAAAATAAAGTAAAATAATTAAAAAATTCGGCTTGCTTTTTTTTTTTGAACCGGTTTTCTGGTTCAGCCCCCCAGGCCCGTATGGTAAGATGCTCATTCACATAGACACAATCATATGACAAAGCAAAACGACAGTTCAAGACACACGCGAGGTGGGAGAAAAGACGGACGGGCAATTAACAATCCGAGCACACATAGTGCATCGCAGTAAAGATAATCGTGGAAAACGACGACGCACGACGGCGCGAACCGACACCACGTTTCGACCGGTCGCCAACCACTACTCCTCAGGGGTCAATCACCTGGCGCAGACGAATCTTCGGACGGTCAACTTCTACTTATACGAACTACCAACTACGACTACAGAATAGTAGGCTTACTTTTAACAGTCAGACCTGCCACTACCAGAGACTACGAAAATTTCTCAAACCCCAAACGTCCAGAAAATGTTGCCAGGTACCGTAGGGCCCTCACCCAGTGGTGGGCTGTGTCTGCACATATTATCTATCTGTTTTCCATCCCGTAAAGCATTTGCCCCAACACGCCCATAGCCCATTGAATCTAACTGAAAACCTACGGAGCACATATTATCTATCTGTTTTCCATCCCGTAAAGCATTTGGCCGGTCCGACCCCAGTTGCACGGGGCGAGCTGAACCGGTTGGTTGCCGCCGCAGCCTTGGTTTAAACGCACCATGTGGCACATGAGACGAAAAAACTGGAAAACTGGACGCGGGTTGGAAGTCACCAGGGGAATATTGTGTGTGCATGTGTATGTGTGTGTGTGTGTGTGTGTGTGTGTGCCCTCTCCCCTCCGTCCTCCCCCCTCCCCCCACCCCTTCCGACACACATACACACATGTCAGTCCGGACTGGTTGCAGCCCCCCTAATGGGGTGGGCCAGAGGGAATCCTAGTACTTTAATAGTAACAAAAGGACCTGCCACAGCAAAGCTGCGGTACAGAAGAGGGGGGTGAGGAGAGGCAGGCAGGGAGGGCAGCAAGTAAATATGCAGATGAAGGCGTCACAAAAAAAAAAGGTGGCAAGGCTCTTGAAAGGGAATATCTAAAATCGAAGTTGGGGGAAAGCAAGAGAGAGGATCAGCAGATCCGGGAGGAAAAAAAAACGGTTTCACGCAAGGGAAACAAAAAAAAGAAGCCAATGGAATCGTACGACGTAAAATAACTCTGAATTTACTTGCAGCAAGTCGGCTCAAAGGTGATATCTCAAGGCCGCCGCGTTTTATTAAAAACATAAAACAACAGGTTTCATGCCGGGATCTCATGGACAATCAGGGATTGACTATGCATCAAGCCCCAATTGCAACTGAACATCGACCTTACACTCCTCATCCTCCTTTTCCTCCTTTTTCCTCAACCTTCCGCTTGTCTTCCTCCTCTCCCCCCCCTCCTCCTCCTTCACTTTCTCACCTCCACCGTCTCTTCCAAAAGCCAAGTCCGATCATTCGACGAAACGTGCATCGATGAGATGGTGGAAAA